ATTAACTCAATTTGCTCTACCCGATCCGGACCCTGTCTGCTGGGTTCCCATTCCGGATCATTTGTCCAGCGAAATTTGCACTCTCTCCATGTGCCAGTTCAGTGACAATGTGGTTTTACCAGCGAACAGCAAAATAACAGCCTATAGAATAGATATGCAACTAATCAATAGCCAAAAGTTCACATATATAACACCGGACTCCGGAGAAACATAGTGGCAGCGCCACAACAATAATAACAATAATAATAACGGGAGTGATGTTGGGATAAAGAACATAGTAGAAGTAAGAGGACGTTCAAAGGAAAACAGGGTTAATAATGAAGTTTCCTGTTCAAATTGACCTATGAACAGAATCGCTTATGGTTCTCAGTCGATATTCGAAAGCCAAAGTTATTTTATTCACTGTTTCCGATGATTGAACAGTCTAGAGTTGATTTTTAGTTGAAGTTGTCAGCTTGCAGGGTGCTTGTATTGTCGAACATATTTGGTGTACTGAAACATGATGCTTTGCGATCGAAGTTCCTCACCTGGCAGAGTTATCACTCCCTAAACTCCGGTTGTTTGAAATGATTTTGCTTCATCCTGAGATGCGGCTGTTTGCTGACTAACGCTTGTTGGAGTGATTCCATTTGTGAAAAATCATTCTGAACATGAGCGAGATTGATGGTTTACTACGCCTTCTTCCTTTGCCGTTCCGTTTCTCCGTATAGGAAAAGCATTGAACTCGAACAGCTTATGCAGTATTCGACCACCTACCTCTCTCTCTTTCTAGGTTAATATTTAGTGTGGTGTGAAAGATTTATATGTTTATTTTTCAAAAATCATGCATCCCGTCGCTTAGTTCTAGTTTTATCTTTCCCCGTAAAAGGTTTTATGCGAGAATGCGACTAGAAGATGAAAATTTGTCTCAGTAAATTTCAGTCGTGGCATTTATCAAACTATACTGACGACTAGCATTTGATCCACTGTTGAATTCTATCTCTTACTGGAGTTCTTCATTTCGTGTATGTGTGTGTGTGGAAGGGGGTAGAGAGATAGGCCATCAATCACGCACGTCTGTACCTACTCTGCATTTCGCAACATTTAACTTGTATGTGGTTTCCTCTCAAGGACGGCTCCAATAATGGACGTTTTATCCACAGAGACTGGTGGAATCAGGTAAAATGTCCCACCTTGTTCTCGATGATCTGTTTACATCAAAGTGCTACTGTAAATCTTTGAAATGTTACTAACATACCTCGTATGACCGAAACCCTGCACCATTAGGATTAT